TGTCACTGCAGGAGCCGCAGACATCAAATGAGTAATGAAGGGACACTACACCCAACTTGTGGCTCCATACACAAATTTGACAGTTTGCACAAAATTGTTTTTAAAGTATTTTTTAAAAAAAATACTGATTATTGGGGCCGGGGAGAGTCAGTGGGTAGAGTGCTTGCCACACAGGTAGGAGCTCCTAGGAAAACACTGGGCAGGCTTCATGGCCCACATTTAATCTCAGCACTTAGGAAGCAGACTGGTGATCCCAGAGTAAGTTGGTTAACTAGACTAGCAGATTTAGAGAGCCCTGAGTTCAAATGAGAGACCCTGCCTCAATATACAAGGTGGAGAGTGATTGAGTAAAACACCCAGGGTCATTCTCTAGCTTCCACATGTATGCATACAGATATGCACATATACCTGCACATACACCCACATGTGTGACAATGCATGTGCACCACACACACACACACATACCGTACACATAGACAACACAAAAATACTGGTTATCATTGTATGAATTATGAGATTTGAATAACTTTGTAACTTTTAAGAAAACCAAATTTATGGTTTAAGAAATTCTCCCAAGAGAAAATGTCAAGACCAGATTATTTCACTGGAGGAGTCTACAAATGTTTAAGGAAGAATAGATCTCTTCCCAAAAGTAGATGGAATAAATCTCAGTTTATTTTGTAGTTAGTATTGTCTTATTATTAAAACTACACACACTACCAGAGAAACAAGAGAGAAAGAAAGATAAAAAGAAATGAAGAAAGAAGACTACCAGACAGTATCATTGATGAATATAGACACAAGAATATTTACCAAAATATTAGGAAAAGGGTATATGAGAAGAATTATATGCTGTGACCAAGTGAGATACATCAGAGTGACACAGGCTGGTTCAATATAAGAAAATCAATTTATACTAAGATAAAGAAGAAAAATCAATAGATTATGCTAATGGATGCAGGAAAGTAATTTGACAAAATTTTACACCTATTTATGATAAAAATTCAGAATAATTGAAACAGAAGGATTTTTTCTACTTGATAGAATACCTACAAAAATACAGATAACATTATACTCAGTGTTGAAAGATTGAATGCTTTCTCCCTAACTTCAGAAGCAAGGCTAGGATGTCCACTTGACACTTTTACTCACTATACAGCTGGAAGTTCTAGTCAATGCAAAAGGTAAGAAAATGAAATAAAAGGTATAAAGATTGAGCATTGGCCAACACCCATTATCCTACCCCTCAAGAGTTGAAGCAGATAGATGCTGAGTTTAAGGCCAACTTGTACTACATAGTGAGACCTTGTCTCAAAACAAAAACAAAAGACAGATGGGGAAATATATACTATTGTCATGATATGCAGATTGAAAAGGAAGCAGTAAAATTGTTTCTATTTGTACAAGATTTCAACAACAAAACCCTAGAATAAGAGGATTCATCAAGATCACAAAATATAAGATAAATGTATAAAATTGGTTGTATGAGAAGTGAGTAAAGAGGTGATTTACTGTAGAAAAAACAGGTGAATTGGGCATGGAGAGAAGCTCCTTAGGTACTGGGAGATTTTACCACTCACCTGCCAGGAAGGCTAAAGTGAAAAAATGGAGATAGCATTAAATACTGAGGACCACGGAGAAAATCTACTGCTCACGCGTTGCTGGTAGGAATGTAAAATGGTACTGAGCAAAGCAGCTTGGCAGTTTGTTAAAACAAATAAGTGCAACTACCATATTAATTAAATGTCTACACAAGCATATATAATAAAGGTCAATAAAGGGTTGAGGATGTAACAGTTTGCCTAACATATGCAAGGCCATGGGGTTGATCCTTAGCATATATTGAAAAACAAATAACCAAATCCTGACTACAGTAACTGTAACAGATAGTCTTAGGAGACTATATAATAGATGAATTAACCACCTCATTTGTTACTCAACTTGAGATATTTCTGAGAATTAAATGGGATGCTGTTAGTCATTCCACTAGGAAAATGGGTCTACTGGGACACAGGATGACTCTATAATGAAGAGGGGTGCATCTGAACCTGGTAGTAGGGTCAAAGAGGTTGGTTGAGTGAGAAAAAGAAGCACCTAAGACCACAAAGGTGAGAGGGATCTAAAGAGCAATAAGACACAAAGGCCCCCTGGTAAGGGGCAGCCAGGGCTGCAGAAGGCTGAGAGGGGAGGTTTGCACAGATTCTGTGCGGGCCTCCCAGGACCCCCCGAGACCCACTCTGTGGCAGTCAAGGCACCCAAGATTTGGCCTTAGTCATCATTCCCGTCCTCCTGCAGTCATGAGGCCACTGTTGGTTGTGAGCTGTTTGCTTTGAGGCTATATTTAGTTCCCTGATTTGCTCTCTCTGCCACACTTGAACAATTTCCCAGGAAGACCAGCTTTATCAGTCCCCAGTGGTGTTCATGTGATTCTCTCATGAATAGGAAAATGGGCTGAGGTCCCTGAGCACAGGGGCGAGTGGTCTCAGACACATCCACATTCCGTTTCCTTCATCTGGAACCTGCTAAAATGACCTCAGGGTGTTTAGGGGCGTTCTCCATCCCTCTCTGTCCAGCGAGACAGCTCTTATGAGCTGCAGCCTCATCTTTACATGACTATCTCTGCCAATTTGCTCATTGGACTTCCCACTCCTCACCCTGCCTCCATCATCCAGCTTGGACTTGGGCTTAGGCTCTCTGAGCATCAGGTTTCCAATGAAATAGAGGCTGCAGTTGTTTGGAACCAGAGCACTGAGATGAGCCACTGAGGTGATTTCTGAGAGTTCATTTGCTTCTTTAATGTCATTTTAGGGAATCTAAGGTATAGCGTCTACTGAAGGAAATCCAGGCACTATTGAACAGAACAGCATTTGTGTGTGTGTGTGTGTGTGTGTGTGTGTGTGTGTGTGTATCTGTCTGTATGTGTATGTGTGTATGTATGTCTGTGTATGTGTAAATGAGTGTGTGTATGTGTTTGTAAATGTTTGTGTATATGTGTGTAAGTGTGTATTTGTGTGTGTATGTGTGTATGTGTGTATGTTTGTGTGTTTATCTGTGTATGTGCGGGTGTATGTGTGTGTGTATGTGTACATATATGTGCTTGTATGTGTGTATATGTGTGTATGTGTGTGATTATATGTGTATTTGTGTGTATGTGTGTGTACGTGTATATATGTATGTGTGTATGTGTGTGTATGTGTGTGTACGTGTATATATGTATGTGTGTATGTGTGTGTATGTATGTGTGTATGTGTATGTATGTATGTGTGTAGGTATGTGTGTATATGTGTGCTTATGTGTGTAGGTGTGTGTGTAAGTGTGTGTGTATGTGTCTCTAAGTGTATGTGTGTGTGTGTATGTATGTGTGTGTATCTGTGTGTATGTGTTTGTATATGTGTGTGTATGTATTTTTATGTGTGTGTATGTGTGTGTTGTTTGTGTGTGTGTGTGTGTGTGTGTTAGGGAGAAGGAGGAGGAGTGGTAAAATGAGGTCTAAGAATGAATGGTTTACTAAGTACTTATTATTATGTGCCAGGTATGATCCAAACATTGTCACAATGAATTTTCAGAAAAATTCTTTGAGAGAATATTGATATATTTATTTACAGAAGTGGAATTGGAAGCTCAGTAGGCTTAGGCTCTGTAAGAGTTACTTCTCTGTTGCTGTGACAAAACATTATGACCAAGGCAACCTACAGAAGGAAGAGTTTGTTGGGCTTATGGTTCCAGAGAAATGAGTGCATCATGTCGGGGGAGGCAGGAGTAAAGCTGGCACAGAAAGTGAGTGTACACCTCTCTAAGCAGGCACAGGTAGCCGAGGGGAGCAAGCTGGAAGTGAGACAAGGCTATCAACTGTCAAAGCCCATCTCTGGTGACGTGCTTCCTCCAGCAAGGCTGAACTTCCTAAACCTCTGCAAATAGTGCCATCACCTAGGGCTAAGTACTGAAGTACTTGGAGCCTAAGAGGAACATTTGTCATTCAAACCATCACAGGTTCTTTACCAAAGATCATATAGCTGCAGTACAGAGTGCCTTCTCTGTCTGAATCCAGAACCATTGTATGTGACCTCCCTTCTCTGCAAGCATATGTCTTTTCTCCTCAGTACATCTATCACATCACCTCTTCTTTTCTTTCATTTTCTTTAAGTACTTTCCCCCTTCAGCCTATTTCTTTTTCTGTCATCAAGAGCATAAGCTGCCATTGGCTTCCCTTGGGGAAGAATAACTTGTCTGGGTCTCACTGTTCCAGCTGCCTAGAGCTTCCCTGTTTGTTGAACCCCTATGTGAAATCTGGTGAAGCATCTGGTCGGGCTTCTTAGGTGCTAATTTGAAGTCCCAGGAAGGCGTGCATTAAGATATCAGCATTTAGTATGAATTAGATGTTCCTTGGTGTAAGCCTTTGTTGGGAAGCACAGAGTAGGGAATAGCAGGAACAGAAAGAAAAGGGTTGAGTGCAAAAAGACTAACACACACTGGACTCTAGAATGTTCTAGAACCAGAAATGCAGGTCACTTGGGTCAGGAGAATGCTAATTACAAGGAGCTTAGATCTGGAATAATACTGATATCTAGTAAAATAATGGGCTCATGCCTGGCCTTTGGGGCAGTCTTTCAAAGTTGGGCTGGAGCTTCCTTGAACTTTTCCTTCAATAATCCTCAGGCCCAGGTATATCCCTATTCCAGCCCCAAGACTTGCTAAGAGCTCTCACCCTGTACTGGAAAAACTATTCTCAGCTTTAAACCTCACACATCATCATATCCGTTTCTTCTAAACAATTCCCTGAATTTTTTTTTTTTTGCCATAGGATAGTCTAATTGTCCAAGTTTTCTATTCTCTGGACAGGTTCATTCATTCACGTGAGAAGTATTTACGGAGGACCTGACACTGGGTTAAGCTTTCACTTGTATTCTTTTATTTTATTCCAGAAAAATACTATGAAGATGATACAATACTTTTTTTTTTTTTTTAATGGGAAGGAGAATAATGTCTCTCTCTGCCTGACTGGTCAATGTCCTTGCTTTGAGGTTCATCACCATGTTGGCACAAAGGCTGTGTTTTCCATAGGCTGTGCTTCTCATGGGCTGCTCCAAGCCACTGAAGGAGAGAGAGCATCATTAATACCACAACAGGCCCATACTGAGAGACAAGAGTCCTTGGGTGATGACTTTGACTCAAAGGTGCCCTAGGAGTCTCATCAAGCCTTCCTAATCTGCATGCTAACCATAGTAATACAAGACCCTCCTGTTTGACCTTCCGTCCTTCTTTTCCTTTCTCCTTCACAGAAGTCAGCCCTGTTCCTCAGTATAATGGTTCTCTCAGGCACTTCTGGCTCCCTCTTTGCTTTTCCTAACTGAAGCCCAATCCTGCCTTAGTTCTGCCAATGGCTGACCTAGATTCACATGCACGTCCTCTGTCTTCTCCTCCGTTTCCCTCCTTCTCCCTTTCTTCCTTCCTACTCACCCTCCTTTCCTTCCCTCTGCCTTCCTCCCTCTCATTTCTTCTTCCTTCCATCCTCCTTTCTCTCCCTCATTTTGTCTCTTTCTCACGCCTTCCCTATTGCTCAGCCCCCTTTTCTGCCTTTCCTCCTCCTCCCCATTTCCCTTCCCTCCCACGTTCCCTCCCTCCTCTCTCCTCCTTCTCCCTTTCTTTTTGAGAATACATTTCTGCCTTTATTAAATGTCTGTTCTCAGGTATTTTCTTCTCTTCCCTTCTTTCTCTTCCCATGTTTCCTGTATCACGAAGTCTCTGACTGACAGGACTTGTACTATTACTATCTACCTGCCAATGCCTGTGGTTTCTGCAGTGGAAAAGGGTTCCCTGATCAGACACCGAGCTCCACACAGGTATTGTTCAGAGTGTTATCAAATCAGAATTTTGTTTCAGTTTCATTTTCTAAAAGAGGTTTATGATGAAGTGAATTGACTATTATCTTTTTCTTAAAAAGTGCTGCTTTTGGTAATAGATACAATGGGCATTTATATAGTTTCTTTTTTTGTGGTTGCCTAGCATCTGAACTCTTTTAGTACAATGGAAAATTCTCCTAAATTTTTCATTATTGGTAGATCATATGTTTTCTAAGACAATGTCTTTAGCACAGGCTGGCTCAAACTCCCTATATAGCCAAGGATGACTCTGAACTTCTGATCCTCTTGTCCCTACCTCCCAGAATGTTGGGATTACAGGTATATATGAAGTACTCAGACTCAAACCCAGAGCTTCCTACATACTATGCAATCACTCTACCCACTTGAGTTACATCCCCAGTCCCTAGATCATAGCTTTAACTATATATCTAGTGGAGATGCTGGTGATCCAGGCTTGACTGATAAATGCTATTAGCTACAAAGAAGCCAGTAGAAGTTGAACCAGTGACACGGAGGTGGCACTGAGATCTGGATTCTGGAGGGAACAGAGACAACTGTGTTGGCTGCAGCATCCAACATCTAGAGGTGCTGGTCAAAGCTATGGCATCTCAGGCTTGGTGATACTGAAATTAGGATCCTTTTAGATTCAGTACCCTGGCATGACTTCAAGTTTCATTCTGCCTGTAGAACCCTGAACCCAATTATCAAGTCTTCACAGACATTCTGGGAGTTATAGAATATCCTTTCAATGGAAGTAATGTTCTGTCTTACAATACCAACCAACAGTGAAATAAGACATCATGGAGAACAGTATCCATCAAGCCCTAAAACTTTTGCATTTTAAGAACGTATTTGCATGCTCAAAAGGACAGTTGCCTAGTGGTTGTAGCAGAAGTATTATTTACATTGATCTGTTCTGTCATTTATTGCACATTTATTGAGGGTCAGTTCTCTCCCAGGCACCAGGCCAGGCATAGTATTGAGGATATGCTACTGTTGAGGATACAATATTGAGCAAAATAGATGCTTACTGCCATCACGGGGACACAGTGGTGGTAAGCCTTGATTTTAGTGGTGACCTGGCTGCTTTTGTCTGCAATTCAGGGTTTGTTTATGATCTTTGTCTCCTGAGAAAGTCAGAGAGTTACAATGCAGATGGATGATCTGATGTTAATCAATGAATTCTTTTTTAGTTCCACAAAGGTTGTGAAATGGCTTATCAAAAATGAACAAACAATGAGTTCAATGAATATTAAATAACAAAAACAAGTGGTTTAGTGAAAGGGAAACACAAGATGCAAATCCTGTCATGAAGCCCCATTAGGCAGAGGAACCTAGTGTTCAGCTTGCCTACAGGGTCCAGGAAGATGAAGTAAGAAGAAAAAGCCAGATTAAGACAACTTTTCAGAAAGGATATCCGTGTTGTGTTGTGAGAAATCTATGTTTCCTGGCTCAAATCTTGTGAGGGATTTGCCTTCAGCTCCTCATTTAAAGGTGCTGACCACATTATGAACTATGAGAATGTAAACTGGAATGCTGCTCTACGTGTTCCTATTGTGAGTATTGAAGCCAGGTATCGATTAGACTAGTAAGGGATTGGAAGGGTGTGTGTGTGTGTGTGTGAGTGTGTGTGTGTGTGTGTGTGTGTGTGTGTGTGTGTGTGTGTAGCTGGGGAAAGCAGAATAGTTTCCTGACGTATTATTGTACTTTAATAATTATTTTAAAAACCCTGAGACTTTTGGGTGACATTCAGTGTCCTCTCATGGGTAACTTAAAGTATAGTTTGCTTTTCTCAGTTATCTGTCATAGGGACAGAAAGGCCTGGTTAATAAAATGCATTCTCAGCATGACTTCCTTTGTTTTCCTCCTGAGGACAGAGTGAGGGCTCCTTTTAGGCCTCAACTTATCTTTCTGAACTAAAGCAGCCATTATGCCAGCCAAGGAGATCTTTTGAACCATAGTCCTTTCCTTTGAATTCCAAACGGATGCAGGAAACCACTCATCTTACAGCAGGAAAACAAAGAATTTGATGCTGCTGTTGCTATGGTTATGATGATGGATACAAAAGTGTTGGGTACCATGGGGTTGAGGTCAGGTTTCACAGAAAAGCTGAAAGTCAAACCGGACCACAGTGGAACTTTAGCAGAGGTACATTCCAGACTTAACAGACGAGTAAAGGGGGGGTGCAGAGATGGCTCAGGGGTTAAGAACCCTGGCTGTTCTTACAGGAGACCCAGGTTCGAATCCCAGCACCTTCATGGCAGCTAATTCCAGTCTGTAACTCCAGTTCCAAGGGATCCAACAACCTTTTCGGTTTCCCGCAGGCATTGCATGACATGGGTGCACTTGACGGAGGGAGAGGATTTTTAGGCAAATGGAGAAAGCAGAGAATGAAAAAAGGAGATGATAAGGGAAGGAGCAAGGCCAAAATAATGAACCAAAGAATGTGACTCAGGAAACTATCACACCTCATGACTCTTCTGTATAACCTTCTCTCTAAATAGTTTAGTTGCTGGGTCCACCTGAAAGATCATAGGGGTAGATGCAGATGCTCCTTCAGGTGGGAAAGGGATCCGTTCTTGGAGGTTTTGGGGTTGCTGTCACTTGCGGGTGGAGCTCAAGAGCTGCAGTAACTGGATTGCGCATCCCCTGTGGTCCAGATCCTGGAGACGTGGGTCCAGAAGCAGGCTGAGAGAGGAGCCCTCATATGGTGCGGCACCTCTGCTCAGAGTCCATCAGCAGAGCAAAACCTTTTTCTTCTCCCTCTCAAGCATTGGTTCAGCCGCAGCTCCCCGCGATCTCCGGCAGGGGCGCTGAGCACCCGCAGATGGCCCGCTCCCTCCCAGCGCCTGCACAGCGCCCACCTGGGCCGGTAGCCCAGGAACTTTTCTTGCCTCAGCCAGCTGCCCAGGGTCTTGAAAAACCCACGGACGCCAGGATTCGCTTCATTCTGGGTGGACATTGTCACTGGCTTCTTTCTCCGACCTGGCCACTTCCTCCATTTATTTTGGCTCTGGTGGGAAAGCAAGTTTGGAGGGTGAGGGCTCTAGGGAATCCCCGGCTGGCCCCGGCTCAGATCCTAGGCGCCTCAGCTCCATCCCTCTGCACCCTTCCAGGTGCTCGAGTCTCTTTCTTTCTCCTTTTCTTTCACACCATCCTCTCCCCGCATCTCTCCACCTCCTCTCTTCTTCCTTTCCCGATTTCCCCTTCGGGTCTCTCCATTTTCTTCTTTCCCTTCTCCTCTGTGTGCTTTCCTCCCTCTCGCTGCCTTTAACCTTCTACAAAGAAGCTTTTCTAATTCCAAAAAGAAACAGCCTGGAGGCTATCTCCTTCACCTAGCCTCCACCCTCAATCCTATTCGTTTTCTAATAAGCCTTCCTTCACCTCCCCATATTCTGGACTTTCAGCTTCCCGAAGCCACCGGTGCTTCTCCGAGGCGGCGGGCTGCTGCACCTGCCCTTAGGGTCGTAATTCGCGTTTCCAGGAGGTCCTTCACAGGTTTAGCTCCCTTTCTTGATTCTCACCCAGTCTCAGGCTTCCTGTGGTCCCAAAGGGCCCAAGGCTCACACGAAGCGCACTAATTATCCTCCTGCTGCCGGGACTGGGGGACCTGATAAGCCTACCTTGCGTTAGGCAGTGGACCTTCCAAGTGGTGGCGGGCACTTTGAAACAATTTGGCCCCGCCCAGAATCGCTTCTGGGGAGAGTGAGGGCAGGGCCTGGCAGGACCAGGCAAGAGGGTCTGGATCTTCCCGGTGGTCGCAGACAGTCTACCCATCTCTGTTCCAGGGTCCCGAGGACGAACAGCCTTGCAGCTGGCTTTCTAGAACCCCATTGACCGACATCAACTTTAATTCTCGGGTAATGGAGGGGCGTGGGTGCACCAGTAAATGGGGACCTGCCTTGTTCTCCACCTTGCCTCGGACCTCTCACAGGCTCCTGACAATGCATACAGAGCCCGTGCGTGATCCGTGAGCGCCGAGGGCCAGAGCGCACCGCCTGTCCGTCTCTCCGGCGCTCTCACATGCACAGGAGCGCCTGTAAACGCACCGACACTGAGCCGCGCGCCCCCTGACACCCTGCGGTTTCCCCCCTTCCACCGCCATCCAGCTCAGCCAGTTTCCTCCACCCCTCGGTGCCCTCCTGCCAGCCCCGGTGCACCCCCTAGTCTCCCTCTTACTCGCCTGCGCACACGCACGCGCACGCACGCACTCCCCGCGCCCCCGCACCAGGAGGGGGCGCAGGCCTCCGGGGCTGGGAGCCCGGAGCTGAGTCGTGGGTCCATCCCGCCCTCGCGGTCCGAGAGGAGCTCGGGACTGCCCCAGGTCTCTTGATCCCGAACAGTTGGATCTGAAAAAATTTACTCCTCCTCCCCCAAGATCCTTTACCTCCCTGCTCCGTCTCCCGCTCCCCGGAACAGACCCGAAGAGTGAACCCCTAAACGCGGTGAGAAGCGGCTCCCAACTCCGCGCAGGCTGGAGGCTGGATTTCCCCCTCCTGTATCCCCCACCCCCCACCGGCTTGCTTTTCACGTTTGAAAAGAGGATATTCGTGTAACCCCTGAACACTCCTTTTTACAAAATTTCTAGGAGAGATTTGGGGGCCGGGAGCTATTTTAACAACGAAAAAGAAAAAAACAAAACCCAAACCACCGAAGGATCTTTTATTCATCTTCGTTGGGTTTTGGAATCACCCTCTGGACCTGGGAGTGAGCGATCCGGCGTGGGGAGAGTGCAGAGACCAGCGAGGAGCGCCTCCTCCTCGGCCGCCCCCTCCCCACTCTCCAGACACTCTCGCTCGCTCTCTCGCTCGGCTCGCCGGCGCGCGCACACCCCCCGCGCCGGACCCGCACCTCGGCTGGCGCCACACACTCGGCATCCCGAGCTGCCGCGGCCGCAGCGGGATGGAGGCGGCGCGCTCCGAACGCCCCACTGGCTGGCCCGGGGCGCCTCTCGCCCGGACCGGGCTGCTACTCCTGTCGACGTGGGTCCTGGCGGGCGCAGAGATCACTTGGGGTGCGACGGGAGGTCCTGGGCGCCTGGCATCGCCGGCTTCGCGGCCACCGGCTTTGCCGTCTCTCCTGCCGCGGGCGGTGGTGAACCAGTGGCCGGAGGAGCTGGCGACAGCCGGGAGAGACACGGCGCTGGAGCGCCGGTCCAGACTAGAGCTGCTGCCCCAGCTGAGCGGCAGGGAGATGCATGTTGAAGCCCAGGGATCATCGCCTGAAGGCGCGAGGTGGGTTCCGGGCATCCCAGTTCCTGGGAAGGCTGGAAGCTCTAAGAGGACTCGCCGGGCGCAGCCTCCCAACACCCTGGAGCGCGGGGATGCTTGGGCTACTGCTCCAGCTGATGGTTCTAAAGGAAGCCGCCCACAGACCAAGGGCTCTCGGGAGGAGGTGAAGGCTCCGAGGACTGGAGGACCAGCTGCCGAGGAGCTCCGGCTGCCCAGCACTTCTTTCGCGCTGACTGGGGACTCGGCCCATAACCAAGCCATGGTGCACTGGTCCGGACACAACAGCAGCGTGAGTACCCACCGGGCACAGATCTCTCGAGTCCTGACAGCAAGGGGGGAAGGGGAGGGAGCGAGGGACAGGTAGTTGCTCCTGGTCCCGGTGGAGAACCTGAGCGCCTAGACTTTTAGAGAGAGGTTGTTGGACTCTAACCATGCCCCAACAGGTTAGGGGAGTTTTGGTGTATGATGCTGTGTGCATCTATTTACTGGAGACTTTAGGATTGAGGTTACCTGCTGGGGAGAGGAGAAAAGAATGTCTTAAAGATTTGCGGGGGAGGGATCTGTGCGGTCACTCACCTGTATTTGACTTGGAGAATCAGTGTTTCTTTGGGGGGAGGGGGATACTTGGGTTGGAGGGTGATGACACTGACTGATGTGGAGAAATAGCTAGACAGACTCGTGAGATTCCCTCTCACCCCCAAGTTCCGTGTCTCAGTCTCGAAAAGAGAACCAGGGAGATTAAAGCCTAATCCCGGGAGGCGGACCATTCATCTAGGGGTGGCTGCTCTTTCCTCCAGGCATATGGTCTGCTAGCCCAGGCAGAGAGCTGGGCCACGTCACTCAAGCTGGAGGGATGTGGGAGTTGGGGGAGGGCAGGAAAAAAGTTTACAGCAGGAGGCAAAATTCAACACTCCACCACACCGCTCTTTCTTGAGCTTGACTGCAAGACAAGTGGTGGAACAGAAAGCGCGAGCTTTTGTAGCTGCATCCAGCACCTTAAACCGCTCTCCGAGTGTAGTTCACCCCTGCCCTTTCTGCACACCTCTCCGCCCATCTTTCCTTGACGCCTGGGTCCTCTGGGCGCTGCTGCACCGAGAGGTGGCGCTGTTGAGCCCACTCCTGAGGCTCTGGGGTTCTAGAATGGGGCATTGGGCTGAGAAGGGCCACTCAGGGGCTACTTGGCCAGCAGCGCAGTGCAGCGCTTGCCAGAGGGGCTCTCCCTAACTCACTACTGTCCAGCTTGGTGCGGTCAAGAACCCGCTGGCAAATTCTTCTCCACTCTTTTTCCTCTTGTGGTCTCTGTTTCAGATGCAAAATCTTGCCTGGCTTTCCAGCTCATATGAGAGCCTGGCTTAGGGTAGCATGGGTTCCAGAAAGAGGATGAGAGATGCACAAGCCGCTTTGGGAACTAATTTCCTGGAAAAGCACCTCCCTATTTGTATGTTTCTCAAGACAGGCTTTTGAAAAGACTATCTTGGGAAATGTTTGCCTTATTTTAACAGAGCCTAGGGGGAGGGGGTTATAGGGTTGACTAGTGAAACAGGGAAGCCAGGGTCTGCAGGGCTCAGCACTCCAGCACTGACTAAGCTTAGGTTCTCAGTTATACCCTGGGGTTGGGGTGAGGGTGGCAGCCTAGTCTGGATACCAAATACTGGGTTCAAAGGAGTCCAACTACACAGGGCAGCTTGGTACCTGGCTTCATTTGCCTTCCATAAAGACTCTCACAACTTTGGATTGGATGGCTCTGAGCTTGGGGTTAGGGCTGGGCAATGTGTACCTTTGCAGAGCTGGGTGATTGAAGGACTTCCAAGTCCCCAGAAAACGGTTGTGTTTGCAGAGGGAGTAAGAGGAATAATTCTCTGACAGCAGTGCTTGGGAATTCTGACTTCATTCAAGTTTGATAATTGGGGATTGGGTGGTGTGTCTTACTCCATGAGGAGGAAGAGGGGAAAATTCTCACATAGGTGTGACTTTATTACAAAATTCACTCTGCTGAAAAGTCTTATCTCTGTTTTTATTTTAAATATTGACAAAGCTCTGGGAGAAGGGACTGTAGAGAGAAAATACTTCCTGCAAATAATAGGTAAATGTGCATAGTCTTTTCTGTCCTTCTTTAGGGTGGCTGAACAGCAAAGGATGTAAGGGAGGGCCTGGCTTGTGCCTTCTGTGGAAATGGCTCTTCAATCAAAAGAGAGCCAAAAGTCCTGGGTAGCAGACCAGTTGGGAAGGAGATTAGAGTTATCTATGAAAAGGCTCCTGTGGACTGTGCTCTTGGCCCGCTTCACTGCTCCAGGCAGGCTATCCCCAGACCAGAGAGGGACTTCCTCCTTAGTCCCTAGGCTGCACCTGTCTTTTGGCCAGCATCAGGGAGAGGGCTGTGAAGAGGGAATCCTCTTCTGGAGATTTTTTGGGAGCAGCTTTAGCAGCATTCCATCTTTTCCCTCTACCCTTTGCTGACAGCAGGAAGATAGGTGAGCAGTGATGCTGAGGAAACCCAGGTCCTTTTACTGCTGTTTCTAAGTGGAGGAGGAGGGAGATGTCACAAGGCAGAGATGTGGGGCCTCATACCAGGCTCTTCCGGCCTGGAAAGAGAATTCTACCTTTTCTTCTGGCTTCAGAAATGTTAAAGGAGCCCTTTGATCAGCAGTTTCAGCTTAGCACAGTTTGGGCTTTCCTGGTCTTCTCTCAAATGCCTTTGGTAAACTTCAATGCTTGAGGAGTTTCCTTATGGCGAGAGGTTTTAGTCACCTAGATAACTGAACTTTGAGCTATACTCTGGGAGTTTACAGTTAGAAATATGTAGTTGGACATCTTGAGCCTAACCCCATTGGTCAGCTTGTACCTCAGGAGCTTAGGGCAGGAGATCCTTATCTGGGGCATGTGTTTGCTTTGGTCTTATAATTAGGGTAGAATAGCTTGGGAGGCAGTGGAGGAAGTGTCCAGCAGGCTTGAGGCAGAAGGAAGCAGGAGAGGGAGAGGTAGTGGGTCCCAGCTCTGATCATATTGCCTTCCCTTGTAGGAGTGAATAGACTTGGCCTTGGAGCCTCTACTGTGGAGGAGATTTGCTGTTGTTCTTTCTTGCCACTTGTCTCCAGCTGGGATCCTGGTGATTAATGGGTTAGAGTGTTTCATAAACACCCGGGGGAGCCCAGTCCCCATAGCTTACAGGGAAACAGAAAAACACATTATTCTGTCCTTTTCCTTCAAATGGAGGAAGAAGTTCCCTTGCTTGTTCAGTGAGTTGGCAAATGGCCCTGGAGGGTGGAGAGTTGTGAAGGCACAATCCACTTATTTACACCCCCTTTTCTTGAATTAACCCCTGATGCTGAGCCTGCTGGATCTTCCCTTAGGTCAGACACTGTTTCTTCTTAGCAGTTCACTCACAGTCTACTGCCCCTGCTCTGTCTGCTTGCCATGACTTGGCAGGTAGTTTTCAATTAATGTGCCAACCTTAAACCTTAGTGAAGAGAAATGAGATGATGCTGCCACTCCACTCCGGGTCCTTGACAGACCACCTTCCCTGGAGCATGTTAGGAGGTATACCACCCAGATCTCCCCAGGCAGGATTCTCTATTCTTAACTAATGTAGCTGAACTGTGCTCTAAAATATTTACTCTTAATGTGCAAAATAGTGACAGATTTGATCAGATTAATTGTATTTCACTCACTAGAGCATTTCATTGTGGCTCCCAAACAGATTTTTCAAATAGCTTTTGGCTGGATTGCCTAGCCTTCATCATCCCTTCTCACAGTCCCTGTGTCACAATATCTTAATGCATTTTGCCTTCTCCGAGGCTTAAAAAAGAAGCCTGACAGAAACCATTCTTCTGGGGTTTGCCAAAAGAATCTGTTTTTAATTAATATTACAAGGAGAGGCGTCTCAGCTGAGACATAGCTGGGAAACGCATTGGGACACAACAGCACTAATTGCTCCAGGTCACTGTTGGCCAGGAGTGGGGGTGACAGGAGGAGGGGCCGGACAAAGCTGTTTGTCTGCTCTGAGAGTTCTCTGATAGCTAGGTTATAGTATCTGGTTTGTTTTTCAGATCCTGCAGTGATTTCCAAGGTGAGAAGAGTTGCAAATTACTTAATTGGGAGGCCCTGGCTATTTAATGATTGCAGAAGTGCAGTGGTTGGAACTTGCTTTTTGGTTGACAAGGGAGGAATGCTCAGAAGTGGTTTCTCCAACTGTGCTGGGCTTAAGGGAAGGGGTTTGGTGAATCCAGTGGTAAGAAAGCTCAGGAGGCTTTTTTCTCTCCAGCTGTGTAAGTCTATTGTTGTCACTAGAGGAGATCTGTGGGCCCTGAGTCATCCCATAAAAAACAGAGAAATATGATGGAGCCGGACACAGACACAAATGACGAGGCCAGTGCCTAAGGGCTGGTGGTTCATCCAGGGCTAGATGCAGGCAGAAAAGTCATCTCAGGCCTGTGGCTTGACCAACCTGCTGACCTGTAGGTTTCCTGTTTTCTTCCCTCCTTTGGCCTCTTGGGTTACTTAAAACACTTCTTTAGAGGGAAAACTGCAAAACACGATTCCATAGCAGATTTAGAGGACAAGAGGCCCTGTGGAAGAAGAAATGGATGATGCAAAGAGTGCCAAGTGAGTCCTTTTCAGTAAGCAGGACTGCTCTGAGGCATGGAGGACATTTCGCTAGTCATGACTATCCTCCTGGTGTATGGGTGACTAGCTGAAGGGACTAGATAGATCCCAACACTGTTAGTGGACAGTGGAGATGGAGGATACTATACTTCACACTTAGTAGGTACTTGGTGATGTCTGGCAAAGTGCATGAATAAGTGACAGTTCCCACTCTCATGGAGCATGAGATATAAAGGAATTTGAAATTATCCTCAGGGACAAAGACTTGATAACCACTGTAAACAGGAGTGACTTCTTCTGGAATGTCCCCATTCTAGTCTGAGAGCCTCTGGCTTCCTGAATTCAAATCCAAAGTCCTTTGTCATGGCCTTAAAGTGTCCTGAGTCTACTTCTGCAACTCGCAATTTGATTGGTCCATGATGGACTTTTCTGCTATAGCAGAACTACTCTTCTCCAGTCCCCTCCACAGGGCCCCTGCTTGGCTCCAAGGTTCGTTCCAAGGTCTTCCACTTGGGATACTCTCCTTCCTGTTACAGTACACCCATTACTTGCTGCTCATTTCAGGACTCAAGCACAGGCCTCTCTGCAACATTCCTATGAAGCATTTACTTCCTTTTCCTGGTTGTTTATAGAATTTGCACATTTGATCATTCTTAATAACTTGGCTATTCTAATCTTATGTTTTTC